TGTATATGAGAGAGTATATATATATATATATATATATATATATATATTAAAATTATTATTTGCCCTCTCTTTTTTATTATTTTTCAGTTGGCCTCATCTCAAAAGGCCAAATCGGGAAAAATTATCAAAATTTCAAGTCAAAGAAAGAATTTACCTTCCGATAAGTGGATTGCTGAGTCAGAAGATTCAATTCTGAAAAACAAAGTTTTGTGTTTGCCAACTGTTGTGGTAAAGAACTACAGAACCAACAAGCTGTCAACATTATCACTTAAAGTTCTTGAGCCCATGACTGGTCCCTGTAGTCGCTCGAGAATAATCTATGAACCTAAACTTCATATGCCGATGATTAGTGAATATCCTCTATCAGAGAACATGCACAAAAGTGACATAGTTAAGTCAGATCGACTACCCTCACTTTGCGCACCTTTGTATCATTCTAAAGATCATCTTATCCCAAAGTCACTTATTGCTGATCTGATCAACCAAAAGACTGTGAGGTGGGGATGTTCATTGAACCCAAGGGGAGATATTCAATATCTGAATGGGTTTTGGGAGTGGTCTCAACGAATTTCCGCAAGTTGTTAGATAAGGGTTTCAACGAACTTGCTTATGTTGTGCATGCAGCTTCTTTTGACTACTCTCGACCCAATAGTGTATATCGTGCCCTTTGTGAAGTTTGGTGTCCACCGATGAATACATTTGTTACAGGAGCAGGAGAAATTGGAATCTCACTTTGGGAAATGTGACACATCACTGGTCTTTCAATTCGTGGTGAATATTTTGAAGAAGTTATCCCAAGCTTGACTGAATTGAGGACTCTGATACTAGTGTTCTTCTTGTGACTTGTCTGCACTTGTTTAAGGTTGTTGTCTTAATTAATAAGAAGAAAGGAGATAATCGTCCCCGTCATTCAGATTGGCTTGATTTTTGGTTCAAGGATGGTGCACGTGTTCCGGATCCTAAGAAGAGCAAGGCATATAAAGCAACCGTGACAAATTGCTTTAAAAGGGATGGAGAACTTTTTGCAAAGCGAAGATTGGTGAGACCAATTCAGGCAGAAATACAACCTATGAAGACAAAGGTCAATGGTGATGATCCCTTCATTCTTTTAAATCTTGACCTTGATGTCACAACACATGAAGACTTGAAGATTGCAGCTTATTTAGCTTTATGGCTATGTCGCTTTATATTTCCTTCATCAGATGATGTTATTCGTCCAACTATCTTCAAGATTGCCTCCCGAATGGCTACTGGAGTCACATATAGCTTGGTTCCCCTTGTTGTTGCAAGCATTTACAGAGGTTTATCTGAGACATGTAACACCCGATATGATCAGAAGAACCTCGGAATGACTTCTTATGCTTTTCCAGGTCATTACTTTTATACTTTGGCAGCATTGCATTTCCCTCGGAGATTTTATGCTAAGGTTGATGAGGAGCTTGATCATCCTTTGCTTTGACAATTCAAAGGTACACTAAATGCTTATCTTTATTATGAGGAAGAAGCGAAAGGATTTTGAGATCTTCTACGTGGAAGTATGAGTTCCAGTGATTTTTGCTGGCAACCAGTTCCGTATTCTAGAAACTGAGGACCTCATCATGATGATGGACAAAGATCAAATGAAACCTCTAAATTAATGACAAGTATGTGAGGTGGACACGTCAAGTATCGTCGTGGACCAGTTTGCATTCTTGAGATGTATAAACCACATTGCTTTGCTAGGCAGCATGGATTTCATCAAAGATTACCAGGTACTCCCTCATATCCATCAATAATTTCATTTGGTGCTTCTTTTTTATATCGGGCGTGGTTGAGTTTAACCAGGATAAATAGTGGGGCAGGATTCCATGTCCTTAATAATTACGCTCGCATTGAAAATCAATGTGATAGTAGTTATAACAACCGGTGGAAATATGATGTACTCCCACACCAAGATGACATCGATTGTAAAACCTTGTTAGCTAGTGAATCTGAGAATTTCAAATTCAAAGCTCAAGCTGACGGCTTAGGGAAGGGGAAATCCCTTCCTACAGTAGCTAAAGCTCCTTCACATCTTCGAAAACGGGACACTTCAAAAGATTGTTTGAATTCTCAGGAACAACCGGCTCTGAAGATGTTAAAGGTCACAACACCTGTTTTAAGATTAGCTAATGTTTGATCTGTTCATCCTTTAAACATCCCGGAGTCTACTGAAGTGAGTTCGTCAAACGAATCTGATCATGCACTCCTTTTATCCCGCATGTCTAAGGGTATTTTCAAGAAACAGGATATAGGCTCGAATCGTGGAAGGATTCCAAGAGCAATTGTACTAGTTGATAATCTTAGTTCTATTAAGTAGGTAATTCAAGAGAGGTACCAACACAAGAGCTACAGAAGCTGAGCATAATTTGGCTTATACCCGGTCAGAAGATGGTGCAAATCATACTACTATAAAGTCTCTCACAGGCAGGGTTGACCCATCTTGTGATACTCTGAATGACTTATCAACTTTTTTAGAATTATCTCCGTGATCCCGCAATAAAGGTACTTGCAAAATTTCATTATTATTATCATTTTTTTTTATATTTCAAACCTCTTATCCTTTTTTTTTTTTAGCTTTTCCTCCACTCCCAGATCTTGCCACATTAAATTCCATCCCAGGTATTTGTGGAGACCAAAATCTTGACAATGATATCATTGGAGCTTTATTTGATGACAACAATTGAACCATCTCCATTCTTTCCGGTAGTGGTGAGATTCTTCCTTTGGTTGATAGAGAACATACCAATACATGTGAAGGGGAAGTTAATTCTAAAACAAACCCTTCATGTGCTATACAAGCAGGGCAAGAAGCTATTAATAATTTCGTTATGAATACTCTTCTTGAGCCATATGGACCTGGTGAAGCACGATCTCCAAGACTAATGCCGATGTTTTCATCTGTCTCAGGTATATTTTATTAGCCTGATCTAGTTACCCTTTCGATTAGTATGCAACTAATCGCATATCTTTATGTGTCAGATCCTCCCGTTGAAGCAATTACTTTTGAAAGATTGGCAAAGAAAATAATTCTGACTGGGATGCCCCCATATTTGAAGGGTGAATTTGATTATGCCATGCAAAATGACTTCTCTAGATTGAAGACCTGATGGACCTCTAAGTCTTCAAGTATTGAAGATACTCTTAAAAAACTTTTCTATGTTGACACAAATCCTTTGGTGAGAAAAATGGATTGTCTTCTTATGAAAGTAGATGAGTACCTTTCAAAACGCCAAGAAAGCGTCAAAGTTTTAATCTCTGGAGAAAGAGATAGAAGGTTGGCGACAATTGATAGCACGATATTGGGAGGACAATTCAAAGTTCTTGACTTGAGTTAACAACTATTGAAATTTGAAGCAGAGCTATTGAGTCTTCATGATGAAATTCGGCGACTGCAAGATTGGAGGGCCGAGGTAGCATCTAGCATTGACTTCATTCGTGATGAACGACAAAACACTGAAGAGACAATTGTGGTGATGGAGAAAGAAAGTGTCGAACTCCAAGAGTCTCATATTCGCAGCGTTGAGGAGATACATGATATAGATAAGATGTGATCCATGTTAGAGAAGGAATTTGTTTCACTAGCCTCGATTGACTGGGTTGAAAAATTTTTATGATCTCATAACTCCTCAATTGTAATTCTTTATATATATATATATATATATATATATATATTAGCAAATATGGATGTTTAGATTTGAATTTTTTTTATGCTATTATTTATTGTACTAAAAAAAGATTGATTCTCAAATAATTTAGATATCTCAAAGAAAAAGTTTAAGTTTAAACATAATTTTGAAAGAATTTTTTTTGTTGAGTTGTACACAGTTTTAACTCATGTGGACCAGGAGCAAAAAATTTTTTTTCTTGGTTAAGCCATACGCCGTTTTAACTCATGCGGGCTAGGAGTAAATTTTTTTTTTTTGTTAAACTAAGAATTTTTTTTTTAAGCAGTACACAATTTTAACTCTTGCGGGCCAGGAGTAACATGCAGTAAAGGCTCGTGCGTAAAGAAGCGCGTGGACCTTTAGTTTTGGTTAAACCGTACACAGTTTTAGCTCATGTGGGCTAGGAGTAACAAGGTTTTTTTTTTTTTAGGTTGGTGCTGCGCACAGTTTTAACTCATGCGGGTCAGGAGTAACATGTAGTTTAAACTCGTGCGTAAAGGAGCGTTGCTTGTTTTCAGGTGTAGAAGCACTTTAACAATTTCCCATTGATTGGACCAACCCTCAAGTCATCTTTGTCAACAATCTTGTATGCGCCGTTGGTGTAGACTTCTTTCACCACATATGGACCATCCCATTTTGACATAAATTTTCCACCGATGTGATGCAGAATGACAATGGGTCTTCGAATTGTAAGGACCAAATCTCCTATTTGGAATGACCGGACACGAACCCTCTTATTGAAGGCTTTGGAAAGTCTAGCTTGATAACATTCCAGGTTTTGTTGTACATCTAGTCTCTTCTTGTCAAGTGCTTCGAGCTCATCTAGACGTAAATGAACATTTTCTTCATTTGTGAGATCTTCTTGTAAGGCAATCCGTAGGGAGGGAATTTGACATTCCAAAGGAAGAACAACTTCAATGCCATACACAAGGGAATATGGAGTAGCTTGTGTTGGAGTTCAATATGTCTAGAGAGCTTCACCAACCCTTTCATGCCAATCCTTCTTTGATTTAGAGACAACTTTCTTCAGCAAGTTGCACAAGGTTTTATTGAAGGCTTTTGCGAGTCCATTGGCTGGTGCGTTGTACATAGATGAATTATTTTGTACAAACTCCAATTTGATGCAGAGCTTAGCCATGAGGCTATTGACAAATGGTTTTTCATTATCAGTAATAATGTAACGAGGTACACCATACCGATATATAATATTTGTTCGAATAAAGTCAACAACATTTTCTTTTCTCACTTCTTTAAGAGAAACTGCTTCTGCCCACTTGGAGAAATAATCGATTGCTGCTAAGATATAAAGATGTCCTGCTGACGATTTTGGAGTCAAAGGTCCTACGATATCAAGTTCCCATGCATCAAAAGGCCATGATGCGACTATAAGATGCAATGGTTTAGGTGGTTGGTGAATGAAGTTAGCATGAAACTGACAAGCTTGACATTTCTTAGCGTAACTCATCGAGTCTTGTACCATAGTGGGCCAGTAATACCTCATTCTCTTTATGCGGAAATATAATTTAGGCCTTGATTGATGAGCACCACAGATTCCAGAATGAGTTTCTTCGAGTGCTTGAGCAGCTTCATCTTCATCCAAACATCGCAGAAAAATACCATCAAATGAACGACGATAGAGGATGCCTTTATAATAAATAAATCGAGGAGCTCTTCGTCGTATCTCGGTTCTATGACGTGGGTCATTTGATAATTTTTCATACTGCAAATAATCAATCAAAGGTTGCCTCCAATCTTCATTTTCAACTTGCACTACTGAAATGGTAGTAACTTCCTCCATTTCAGGGAGTAACGGAGATATTACCCATCTTTGACAAACTAGAACTGAAATTATTTGGTAATAGGGTTTTGTAAGCACGACGGCAAGATTGGCAAGAGTATCAACATATCTGTTTTCACCGTGTGGTACATTTTTAATGGTGACTCGATCAAATTGACTCATAAGTTGAGTTGCATAGCGACAACATGGAATCAAATTTGGTTTGTGAACATCATACAACTCCAAAACCTAATGAACCACCAGCTGCAAGTCTCCATAGATTTCCAATTGAGAGAGTTGTATATCAAGTTCCATTTCTAAGCCAATAATCAAAGCTTGGTACTCTGCCATGTTATTAGAGCAAGACTCTGTCAAGGTAATTGCGTAAGGCAATACTTCATCTTCATGGGTAATGAAGACCACACCTACACCAGCTCCATACCTTCAATCAGTATCATCAAAATATAACTTCCAAGATGGTATGAAGTCAGTGAAAAAAACCTCTTCATCTGGCAATTCTTCTGGTAGCTCCCAGTCTACAAGGATCAGGTGATTTGCAAGAAAATTAGCTAATGCTTGTCCATTGACTGCTCTTTGTGGAACATAAATTATGTCATATTCAGACAATAGAAGTGCCCACTTTCCCAACCTTCCCGAGAGAATTGGTCTTGACATAATGTACTTGACAGGATCAGATTTTGAAATGAGATGAGCAACATGAGCCAGCATATAATGCTTCAACTTCTTTGTAGCAAAGACTAATGCAAGACACATCTTTTCAATAGGTGAATAGTTTAGTTCTGCACCTACTAATGTCCGACTCAGTTAGTATAATGCGTTCTCATTTCTTTCTTCATTAACTTGTGCTAAGAGTGCTCCTAATGACTATTCTTGGGCAGCAATATAAAAGATCAATGGTTCTCCTTGAATTGGTGCTACGAGGACCGGGGGGATGAATGAGATATTGTTTTATTTTTTCAAAAGCATTCTAACATGCATTATCCCATTCAAAAGGAACACCCTTCTTCATTAGTTTATTGAATGGATGACAACGTCCGACAAGGTTTGAGATAAATCTTTGTATATAAGCAAGTTTTCCTTGAAGACTTTTCAGGTCATGCAGATTGCGAGGCTCTAGCATCTTTAGGATAACCTCTAATTTTGATTGATCAATCTCGATGCCTCGATACCTGAGAATAAATCCAAGGAACTTGCCAGAGGTAATCCCAAAGGCACACTTTAAGGGATTCATTTTTTTGTTGATATCTCTGAAGTCGTTCAAAAATGTTGTGCAAATCATCAAGATGATCTTCACGTCTTCTTGTCTTTACGACCAGATCATCAACATAACGTTCAACCTTTTTGTGTAGTACATCATCAAAAATCTTTTGCATTGCACGTTGATATGTGGCACCAGCATTCTTGAGTCTGAAAGGCATTACTCTGTAGCAATAAACTCCATTGGGGGTTCAAAATGTAGTGAGTTCTTCATCCTTAGGGTCCATTCGAATTTGATTGTATCTAGAGGAACCATCCATGAAAGATAAGACCTCATGTCCCATAGTCGCATCAACTATGAGTTCTGTAATCGACAATGGAAAGTCATCTTTCGAACATGCTTGATTTAAATATCTGAAATCAACACAAACTTGAATTTGT